CAGGACACGTGAAAAAAAACAAATGAAAAGTGCAGACTAAGGTAGTAAGTGTGTCTGGATGGCCCTGTGGATCAGTGAGGTGCATTAGATCAAGCTGAACAGTGTGGATAGTGACAGCTCTCTCCCTTTCTCTCTACACCCTAGTGTAAACACTCACGGAGCTCTTCAGAACCACAGAGAAGCGTCCAGGCTGGCCGATGAATGGCTAAGGTAATATTTTAGCGCCACCGCCCTCATCAATCCTACACTGTTTAGAAAAGCCAAGCATTAGCCTGATGCCTGCTAATAGCCTGGCCGTAAACATTAGCCCTCGAGAACTGCCTCCTGCTAGGGTCACCTCTGCAGTGCCCCGTAAACACAGCGACTCAGATAAAGTCAGCCCTCAGAAGGCAGCTGGGACCGCTCCAAAAAGATGAACCTTCGAGAGGATACTCAGTTCAAGCTGAGGTTCCCTTTGCTAGAGCCCTCATGTGTGCACTTCAAACGGCCATCCCGCTTCTACGTCACCATGGAGTTCAAAGGAGCCAATACATAGGAAAGGCTACTGGCCCATTCAATAATTCAGTGATTCAAACAACAAACAGTGTTCTCAATGTGCAGCTAAGAGTGCATTAGCAACGCCATTAAGTCAACATCTGAAGTTTGTTTATTTATTTATTTTTGAATGTGTTTTTGCCATGGCATACCTGATTTTAATAACAAAAAGGAATAAGATAGAATATTTTTCACCATGAAAAGAGCTCATTGTTAGCCTGGGGATGGGTTTCATGGGCACTGAGAGAGAACAATCCTGCAGAGCCATCTTAGAAAAAAATAATACATTTATAGATAATCCTATACATATAATTCTTTCTAAGAGGGTTCTGCAGACAAGGACGGGACACTCTCTCTTTTTGTATATATCTTGAGATGAACTTGGGCTGAACGATATTGGGAATAATCGACATTGCAGTTTTATTTTAATTTTTCTACAATATATATTGTAATATTGAGCATAATTTCCTCAGATAAAATGAAATGGTATAATTGTACACAATTCATAATTTCAGATACATTTTGCAGGGGTGAGCATCAGCATAAAATAAATTAACCAATCCCTAGCATTGACATGAAAAGACAAAATAAAAATAAAATACAAACTTGTTTTTGAATTTGGCAGTCTAGCAATATTGAGATACACTAATTGAATAACCAAATTTGAAATTTAGCCTTTATCGTATACTAGCATAAACACACTTAATCATTCTTAAATTTACAAACAAAATATTACTAAGCTTGAATGCTTTAAATGGATTTGAAATGCTTACACGGTCACAGGTCCTAAAAACACACAAATGATAAACATTTTAGTAATTTTATGGTTAAACTTTGCAATGACTTTGCAATGAGCTTGTTCAACTGTGACCCCTGGTCAACCATAATACCAGTTCAACATTCATGTGAATTCAACATTGATCATGCAATGTGACAATAGTATTATGTGCGAATACGCACATTGCAATATCAATGCTGAAATGATATACTGTGCAGACCTACCTAGAAAATTAATCAAATAGCTATAGCTTAACAATGTTATTTTTTTAAACAGTAAAGATTATATACATGTTGCAATGTTATATTTGATTTTATCACTCTGTGATAATTTCTCTCACATTTCTGTACCTGAAAACCTCTTACTGTAGTTACCAGATGTTGGAATAATTAATCAATTCCATGTGTGTTTAATAAAAAAGGTCAGAAGAGGTTTTTCTTCAATGTTAAAAATATTAGTAATTTAATGAATAAAAATGAATAATTTGATTCACAGAATTCTGTTATCCTCAATGCAAAGCAAAGGTTACATTCTGAAGGTGCACAACCAATTTCATTTCCTGATTTTAACTTTTATAGATAACTGATATTGCCGGTGGAGTTTAGTGGAATTTGTCACTTGTTAATCATTCTCCAGTCCTCTATTCGCCACACATACATCCTCCTTTTCTACTGAACCTCGCATAAGTTTCAACAGATTTCTGCTGAAAGGATGTTTAGCTGCAGAGCTCAAGTTAATTTTAGACAATCAGGCCTTTGCATTTCTATCAGCTTACTTCTGCAAAAATGCTTCATTAGTATGCAAAGCACATCATACTCTACAGAAGTTCAGTTACTATATCACCTTTAAGCAATACAAATACAATTGTTTAATGAAAAGAAAAAGAGACAAAAATATGTTTAAAATATATTCAATTTTCCCAACACTAAAAAACAGTGTTTATTTTAGTAGCACCTTTGCTATATTGTATCCACTTAAGCTTTTTCTTTTTTTCTTTTTCTTTGACAGTTTTTTTTTACCAAACACATATGCCAAATCTAACTGAAACCGCAACATGAAAAATGAACCATGACCTGTTTTGTTGAACCCTTAATTTACATTCACACACATTCAATTAAACTAATATTTAAAATTCCATTAGACTAACACACACATAATTTTGTTGTTGTTGATATTTTAACTCTGCAAGGCATTTTGCAGTAGTTCTGTACTGTTATATAGTAGTAGACGCTTCGAGGGTGAATGAAAGGTCACAATTTACAGTTAATTTTTTTATCTTTTTAGGAAATCGGCCACTTAACCCAAAATCCAGTGATCCTTCTCTGCAGATTAACTGTTAATATAAAAAGGAGGTAAGCCATTTGTTGGACAAAAAGCTTCTGGTAGCTTTCCATTATGTGATATTTCATGACAGAGCTGTACATGCTTTCGTCCCTCATGGTGTGAATGTTTAATGCTTCTTAGCGCAATCCCGGTCTGCACACTGACCCTTAAAAGAGCATGAAGCATTCATCACACAGACAAGCCTTTTAGTGCGGAAAACTCTGCATAAACACAGCTTCTTCACATTCCCGCTGAACCTGGTCCTTAGGAGTAAACTTAAGACATTCTTAAGAATCTTATTCGCAGCAACTACCATTCTTTAATATAGCATTCAAAAACTACATGCTGCTGTAAATACATAGAGTATGTCTATACTACAACTAAGCTGCTGTACACATTGGTAAAGCAACAAACCAGATGCAACCAGCAGACAAGCACTGTTTTATGTGCCTTGCAAGACTTCACAAATATTTATCACTGTAATGTACCCTACATCAAATGGAGAGTGCAGATGTTACTATCATGACTATAGTGTAGCCATTACTTGTAGGAATTTATTATTGAAACAAAATAAATAGTTTCAGAATTTATCCACTTCCAGTACTAAATAACAAACGGGGACAACGAGTATAGAGGGGAAAATGATGTATGACTGTGAGCCTAAATCAAACGCTACTATTGGAATTAGTGACACAACTAGGAAATATTTATACACTCCAGCTCTGATATAAATTTCTGAACTTGAGCTTATCTTACTGCCTCCGCCAACTGTTTTGATGTCACTAACAACAAAATAATCTCTCATATGGGTTGTTAAAATGGAAGAACCACATGTATGGTTATAGGCAGACTCCCACAGCTTTATTTATTTATTTTTTTTAGTCTGCACATGATTCAAGCAATTGCATCTTACTTTTAAAAGGGATGAAAAAATGCATTTTATATTGCATTTCATATTTCTTCCCGACAACTCTACAAGTACTGTATATAAGCCTTCATGGATCACTAAGGCTTGAGTTGTTTTGAGTAGAAGTTTAAAGGTCCCATGAAGTGCTTTGAAATGTGCATTTTATATTCCATATTTGACATATTTTCAACTGAAAAAAAGAGAGGGTGGGACAGAGCTCCTCCCCTATATAAAAAAAACAGTCAATGTTGTTTTTTTATCACAGCTCTGCCTGTAAGAGTGGTTGAGCTAAAGCACATTAAATAAAAAGCAAATAAGAAGCATCTTGAAGGGGGTGGAGCATGACATATTTTAGAGAGCACGTGATTGGTCTAGATTTGATAGGAAACTGAAGTATGAGGTGATGTAAAAATATTCCATTTAGGTAAGAAGTGACAAACTGCAAGCTTTGGTTGTTTATATCAGTTTTATATTATCTACATGAGAATTTAGTCACTGCTTTTGACCACACTACCTAATAGATATCCTTAAAGGCATGCTCACACTAGGTACAGTTGCCTTGAACCATGCCGAAGTGCAGTTTTTAATTCAATTCAATTCAGGTTTATTTCTGCATCGCTTTCACAGTGTAGATTGTGTCAATCAGATTAACATAGAAGTTCTAGTAAATTGAAACTGTCAGTCTAGTTTTCAGAGTGCTTTTAATGTCACTGCTGGAAGCACAATCACTAAAGAGCAAATCCATGGACGTGCAGCTCCACAAGTCCCAAACCAAGCAAGCCAGTGGCGTGAAACAAACTTCACCAATTGACGAAAGTGAAGGAAAAAACCATGTCCCCCTCCCCTCTCCCCCGATGGCCTGTACTCACACTGGATTTTCCCTTTCGAACCGGAGCATGTTTACGTCATTAATGATGCGACTGTTCAGTTTAACAGAAGAGAAGTGCTCTCACATATTAGGAAGTTTGCTTAAGTTATGATACTATGCCAGTTCGCGTTTATTGAAAAGAAAGAATGCTTAACAATTCCATATGAAACAGTCCCTTAAATGTGATTCTGTGTCTTCAGTTTTAGGCTCAGGTGAGTTTTGCACTCACACTACAAAGGTACCACACCAAAGCCTAACCGAACCTTGCTTCAAACACCTGGCATACCTCTTCCAACCGGGCCAGGGCCAGCCAACTGAACTGGGCCTGATTCGGAGCACATAGTGTGAGTGCACCCTTTAACTAGCATCTAAAAATGTTTATTTTATTTTCACGAGACCTTTCAAGTAAGTTTTCCAGACAAAAAGTAAGAAATCATTTGTTTTTGAAAAATTTGTGCAATAAAAAATACATAGAAAATTAAACTAACAAAAAAAAAAACAAAAAAAAAAAACAGAATAGGGCTACAAGTAAAAGATTACCGATTAGGACCCAATAATCCAACACACTGATCCATTTTGGGATGGCTCACCTGCGCCGCAGATCTTCTGCAACTGTGGCCCGGCAGCTGAAGAGATAGGCCCTGAGAGACTGGAGTTGCTGTCTCAGTTTGAGAACAGCCGCCAACGGCTCACAATGCTCATACAGACACGGGTTCAACTGCTGGACATCCAGTAGAGGCTCCTCATAAACAAACTCCAGAAACTCCTTTGCTTGTTTCGACACCTGAGCCACAGAAGCAGTGTTATCATCACGCACCAAAACTACTCTCACTTAACACTTTTTTTTTTGTTGTTGTTTGATTTAGTTGATTGGTGCAAAAACAGATTTCTGGACTCATCAAGCTACATTACACTGTCAATCAATGTAATGATTATTTGAGTATCTGATTAGAATCTAAACGACAGATTGTCCAAACCATCACCTGTTCAGATCTGAACTGTGTGTCCTATGGTGCTCTTTGGTTTTTTTTGGAGTAAGTTTCATTGGTATGCCTACGGTAAAAACAACAACAGCAGGAACAAGGATTGCAATACAGATGTATGTGAACATGACAACATGTTTCCGTTGTGCTGGATTATTATGTTTTATGAGGAAACAGCAAAAACAAAAGAAGCTGATATGAACAGCCACTTTCAGTCATCAAATTCAGGATGTATTATACTGCATTTATTAGACTTTGTTTACGCAACAACAATGTAGTCAAAAACAGCAATGTATTTTTTTTTTGTTAGTTTTGGAAAAGCTTCACTTTTACATAACTAGGGATGTCCAGATCCGATCATGTGATTGGAGATTAAGCCCAATCTCGCAGTTTCAGACTCAAACGGAATCAGACGTTACCTCCCAATTAGAACTTTAAATATATTTACATTATTTTATAACACATCAATACAATAGTTATGAGGTGGCACAGAGTTAGACTTCTTTCTTGACTGACACACAGAAACAACAACGCGTGCGGCATGACATCACTTTGTTCCAGAGATGCTATTGGTTAAATGCTGGCAAAGTAAAACACGAAAGCGCGAGTATGTCTGCGGTCTGGAGGTATTATAAAGTTGATGACGACAACATTGCTATAGCATACTGTGAGATATGTAAACCTGGGATTGCAGGTATTTTAAGTTAAGGTGCTTTTTGTTTTTATATTAGATTTTTTTTAATACTTACTGTTGCACTAAAGTCCAAAAGTGAAGAATTTATGTTATGCATTACTTGATTGTTCAAGCTACATCACAGAAGTGCTCTGTTTGTTAATAGAGTTGTTGAATGTTAAAATAAGGTGAATTAAATGAAGAAATAAGGAACATCCTGGATCTGTTTTTTCATTCTTCTTTATACTTTTTATGTATTATAGAAGTATCGGATCGGGTTTCGGTATCGGTAGATACTCAAAATCAAATGACTCAGACTTGAGGGCAAAAAACCTGATCGGGACACCTCTATACATACACCTGTATTGTATGCCAGGCCAGAATTTAGCGATCTCATCTTATTAAATACTACCTGTAGGGAATTGACAATGTACCATTGATGGTTCAGTGCTCGAGTAAGACTTGATGTGTGGACGTGTTTGGTTGTGATATTAAGCAAAACCATATTTTACAAAATTTTACTATTTAGTTTACTATCTAACTTTACTATTTAGTTGAGAAACACTTAAGCACTATGATACCGGCATCGTTGTGCATGTTTTGAATCTACACTCCCCTAGATGCAAACTATGCACATGCATGATGCTATCAATTTCATCTATTCATTTTCCTTCAACTTAGTGCCTTATTTATCAAGTGACGCCATAGCAGAATGAACCATAAACTATTCCAGCTTATGTTTTACTCAGCGGATGTCCATCCATCCACAATTATTTTCAAAGAGAGTGTTTTTGCTTAAACAGAAATGACAATGCCAACATTTTCAAAACTGAAATTCGTTTTTTAAATTTATATGAACACAAAGTTGACGTGTAAACAAAGTAAACATTTTTAGTTTCAGTGAACCAAAACAAATTTTTAGTAAACCAAACTAAACAGTTTACTGTTTTTGGCTAAAAATGTTGCATAAACAGACCCTTAATTCACAACAACAACCTTGCATAAAGTTTCATCTTCATAGACATTGAGGACAACACTCACAAAATATGCTGTGTTTACATTTACATGGTGTGAAGTAAATCTAATTTGACTTAATTACAGCTAAAAACTGACTTTCTGGCATTTCATGTGATTTTTTTCTGCTGTTCACACTCAAGTACAATAAAATATGCTCACATTCTATTCAAATATGCACAAATTCTGATTTTGTACTCTGAACATGCAACTTGGAGATATGGTTTGGGTATACAGATCTAAACACATACCTTGTGTCTATTAGTGTCCCAGTTGTGCAACAGACGGGCAGGTATGAGGAAGAGGTTGTCCTGGTGACAACTTGTGCAGTAGTACCAGCCGCTGTAGGCGCAAACTTTGGCCTTGCCCCGTGATAGACCCACTGGCCTCTGACATCCTGAACAGACAAAAAACGAAAAAAAAAAAAAAAAAAAACAATGCAGCAATAAAAAGGAGGAACCTCAAACAATCCACAAATCAAATCTGGCATGGCAGAGATCAAATCTGGGTTAATGACAACTTTAATGACCACCTAATCTACTGATGAGGCCACGACCTTGTTAAAACCTGACAATCATTGGTGAAAGGTGATCAACCTGTTTGGGTAATAAAGGTTTTAAGACACAACCCTGGTTAAACACAGATAAATATTACTGATAATTCACATGTTTTACTGCCCAAAATCCACTGATTAAATCCCAAACTAAAAAGGTGTTTTTACCTTTCCACACAAGTGTTTCTTTGTACTACACATTTTAAAGGTGATATGTCCTGAAAGTGCTTTGCTTTGTCTTCTAAACATATTGTTTAAGTTGCCTTCAAACAGCTGAGGCGGTGCTCCAGCAACAGGCTTATCCCAAAGGAACCAAAACAGGTGATTGTGAGCATGGCAGGTGTCCCTTATCCAAACCATCTGGGAGAATTGGGACAGCGTGGACGTTCAAAGAATAAAAAGAGAATGAAAAGGAACAGGCACAGACGGATATAGACTTGTACAATCTTTTCGGTGGAGCGTAGCGTCAGATATACACTTCATAGGGAGAAGAAGAAATGAGGACAAGATGGGAGGTAGGATAAAGAGGACAAAAAACAAGTCAGAAAAGACAGTCTCCAAAAAGAGCGAGGCAGAATGTTATCGCTACAAATATCTGTAGAGGGAGACACTGATTACAGTGTTTACAGGCAATGCTGTAGGTCTATTTCTGATGTATTGTTAGCTGGCTGGAAAGGGCTGAGCTGAAAACAGCGATAAAGCATGTGCATCCCAGACTGTAAAGAGAAAGGCATCACTTCCTATCAGACTCAAAACAGTTTGTTCAACCAAAAATGACCATTCTGTCACTATTTATGTACACCTGTTATTCAATTTTTTCCCCCTCTACAGAGCTCAAAAGATTTTTATCACAATGCATACACTGTTATTCCATACAAACTCCACAGATGCTGAGGAATGGAGTAAATAAGTAAGCAAATTACACTTCTGATTCAGATCAGTGCAGTGACAACTGACATTATCGGAAAATTAGATTTATGAATTCATTAAACCTGTTCTTTAATTCCTTTTTTTAATATCAGTATGCCTGAGGTCTGGAGGTATTATAAAGTTGATGACGACAACATTTCCATAACAAACTCTGAGATATGTAAACCTGGGATTGCCTGCTGGGTATTTTACGTTGAGGTGCTTTTTGTTTTTATATTAGATTTTTTTAATACTTACTGTTCGGGACAGCAAAAGTTCAAAAGTGAAGAATTTATGTTATGCATTACTTGATTGTTCAAGCTACCTCACAGAAGTGCTATAAAAATAAGGTGAATTAAATAAATCTGTTTCTTCGCTCTTCTTTATACTTTTATGCATTATAGAAGTATCGATTTGGGTATCGGTAGATGCTCATAATCAGTGACTCAGACTTGAGGGCAAAAAACCCGATCTGGACATCCCTAGACATAACACTTTCAAAATGATGTATGCCAGGCCAGTATTTAGCGATCACTTCTTATTAAATACTACCTGTAGGGAACTGACAATGTGCCATTAATGGCTCAGTGCTTGAGTACGATTTGACGTGTCTCTGTGTTTGGTTGTGATATGAAGTAAATCCATGCTTCATGCTGAGGAATGGAGTAAATAAGTAAGCAAAATACACACTTCTGATTCAGATAAGTGCAGTGACAACTGACATTATCGTAAAATTACATTTATAAATTCATTAAACTTGTTCTTTAATTACTTTTTTATATCAAATAATTATATACATATATACATACAATTTTGAACAGGGTATACTACAATTAATAACACTGTAAAATGGTAACACTGCGTATTATTAGTATTACAATTTACATAATTGTAGACGTCTGAATATGTCTGGAAACTCTATTACATTATTTTGCAATTAATTTTCTTGCAAACTTGGTTCTATTTTAAGTCAATTTTTAAAACAGCTATTTTTTTTTAGGAAAAACATTAAACTACACTACCTGAGTCTAGTCGACCAAGTATTAGGAATAGCACATGATAACTCGACTTCTAGTTAATCATTCAGTATCAGAAGTGTTTTTTATAAAAGATTAAGACCTCTAAATGATGCTTTTTTTAAACAAAATAAAATATGATCATGCCTTAATTTTTAATTATTTAATTAGGACAGCAAGCTGAGACTTGGACAAAGGTCTTGTCACTTAACAGAGATAATGAACAAGTATAGAATATAAAGTCATGGAGCAGTGAAAAAAGAATTAAGAATTAATATTGTGTATGACTTCCATGCTCTTGGACGACTGCGTGCATACATCTCTGCAATGACTGAAATAACTTTTAATAAAGTCATCTGGAAAGGCAAAGAAAGCCTTCTTGCAGGACCCCCAGAGTTAATAAAGAACTTTAGATTTCTCTTTAGATGCTTCCTCCTTCATCTTACCCCATACCTCAGGCTGTTGAGGTTGCCATCCACTCTGCAGATATCTTGCACGCCCCTATACTGAATGTAACCCCAAATAATGATTTTTCCTTCACCAAACTTGACTGATTACTTCGAGAATCTTGGGTCCACATGGGTTCCAATAGGTCTTCTGCAGTATTTGTGATGACTGAGATGCAGTTCAACTTTTCCAAATGATCAACTAGAAGTCAAGTTATTATTTGTTGCTCTTACAACTGGGATCGACGACAAGACTTTTGTCAGGTAGTGTAGGTACTGAAGACTGGGTTGAAATGTTTTGGTCCATTTGCAACATGTAAAATGAATATGTGTGCTTAATGCACAAGACAAAATTAATGAAAACTTTTGTTTTTGGAATAAACTTCATTCCGATTTTTCTTTTTCCTTCTTTAACTTGTGTACTTAAACTTCTGCACTTCCCCAAGTAATTTTGTGGAGAAATGTGCTGTTTTCTGATGCATAATAAAATGAATACCAAAAACTGGGCAAATGTTATTTTCTGAATAAGTCTCTTGCACAATACATTGCCAAGGAATACTGCCGTTCTGAACCAAGAAAAGAAAATTCACTCTATTCCATTTCCAAACCAATACGTAATGGGTTGTTCTAGCTGAGGTTAGACGCTAGCATCATGCGCTGCCCCGTGTTGCCAATGTAAACTTGAGGTTTTCAGGGGCAGGGACCCCAGACTATAAAAAGTCAGAGGTGGTGTCCCCCATGCCACAGCTGATGGGTGCCTGATATTTGGGCTGAACCACAGACCATGCAGCAGGGTGTCATGTGTCAGAGTTACCTTGTAATCAGCATACATGCAGAGCGTAAACCCGCAAATACCACCCTTTTCCTAAAATAGCATTTCGTTGTATAGCACTCATGCTATAGAGACTGTTATTAAAAGTGAACTAGTTGAGGCTGGGCTTTTCAGCGAAAGGAAAACAAAAAAATCATGCACAAATTAAAGGAGAAACCGTGAGTCAAAAACTTGACGTAAACGTTTGTATGCATTCAACTGGCTTCCAAAGCATAGTTTCTGCATAGCATCATGAAGGAATCGGTAGCTAACAGCTCAAATGTGCCTTATGTGGTGGTACAAAAAACTGCTTATATTAAAATGTACATGCAAGCTTATCTGTAAACATGTAAATTAAGCTAGTTGATCTACTTTGTCTTGTTTCTAGTCAAAATCGTTTTCAAGGTATACCGCGGCTTGGAAAAGTCAAGGTTTTAAAAAAACAAAAAGGTTATGTGTAAGATTTTTTATTTACATTTTTTTTTTAGCAAAACAGCATCTCCAGTAGAAAAGATATCCAAAGATGCCATTTTTAAATTGTAATAAAATATGTGTTTTAGAAACTAATGAAGACAGCAGTAGTCAATAATCCATTTGAATTTTTTATCCTGACATGTTTACAGCTCAAAAATATTTTAAGTGTTTTTCAAAATAAAATATATTGTGTATTGTAATTGATTATTTTATTTAGATTTAGATTGTAATAATTAAGATTGTAATATTTAAAACAGTAGTTTAAGTAATGCGTTCACACTGAAAACTCAAAAAGGAACAAGTGCACTTTAATTATCCTGATGATAACCGGTAAAATGAAGTGGGGAAAGTTAAACACTTCTCAGTCAACGACCGCAGCTTCGCTCAAATAGCTATCAGGTGCTCATGTTGGATTACTTTATTCATTTTGGATTGTGAAAACAATCTGATGGTGAATGCAGTTTTACTCATGGCAGGTATTATTTGGTACTTTGGTACTTTTGGTACTTTCGCTGCTTTTTACTAATTTGGCAACCGTCAAACGGCATTAGGGAAACGGTTTGAATTTCCGCTCAGTAAAAAAAACGTTAGTGTTCCATTTGGAACAACACTACATACACATACTATGCTGTTGAGTGTGTAAGTGCACAAGTACAAAGTGCATAGTGTGCCATTTGGAATGCAGCTTATTTGTGAAAAATATGTCAAGAGTTCCATGTTTAAATTCCCAATTTAAAAGAAAAGTAGAAAAGGTACCTGGATGACCTAATACCTTACCATCTCGTAAAGCCATAAAAGAGGATTTATGATAGAGTGAAAAGATGAACGTTACAGTAAGAGTTTTTATATAGTCACAAATTTCAATTAATTTTTTGTTTTTCTTTAAGTTGGCTGACCACACTCTACTGAATTTCACGTGGTGCATTAACATAAAGCCTGTGATTTTCTGGTATTTACAGACTTATCTCCCAGATATGATGTCAAGACATTCTATTGTTTGGAAAGATATATTTAAAAAAAGGTCATCAGACTGGTAATACTAATCAAGAAACCCCTGAGATAAAACTACAGCAAACTATACTGGAAATGGAAACAACAACAACATTCACTCAAGTTGATCAGCTTTTGAGTCAAGGGATTAAATTATTTCCATGCCTCTAGTTTAAATTAATTAAAAACATAATTTTAATGAGTTTTAACTTTGAAAGTAAAAAGATCTAGTATGCACGTGTAAATGACCTTTGCTTACACAAACAAAATAAATGTATTCTGAAAGGCTGTTTTTGGCTATGCTAAGCATTCCTTTCAAAACTACAGTTCATGGCTTTCATGTGACATTTTCAAGACATTATCTCAAATCAATTACTTTAATCCTACCAAAACTAAACTTCTAATGCTTGCCAAAATATTCGACACATGCAGAAGAGCTACACCAGACTAAAATGATCTTACTGAGCTTTCTAGCAAACTGCCTGATCCATTTCCTCTAAACCCTGATGGTCTAGAGATTCTGGAGAGTGGCCAGAGAGCATGTCACTTCTGGGAAGGAGTTGGCCGGTTGAAAACCACAGACTCTGTGTATTGTGGACATCACAGTTTGTGCCAGTAAAGCACAGCCCCACGCATGAGTTCCCACATACGTTCAAACACACAAGGTGCAGGTTTACACATACAAGCCAGACATCAAGCACAGAGAATATCCCCAAGAGGGCTGCGGATATTAAAACTAATCGCAGCCATGCACTCTAATAGGTTGGAAATCTGGGCCTTGACATTAGAATACATGCAGTACTCATTTAACTACATGGATTGAACACGTTTCTCAAAATGTCCCAATGTCATAGCCAAGCATGATTGAAGGGGAACAGCATGTTCCTTGCAAAAAATAAATAAATGGGGCCAACCTGGGACTGTGGGAAAGATGGGGAGCCATGCCAAGCCAGGGTTTTTGATGTGTTCACTTGGTCACTGTACGCAAGATTCCCCTCTTTCATTTTCAACAGCACCCTGTTGCCCTAAAATGGCAACTATTTGCACAGAAAAGAGAGGTGAAGTAGGGCAATCTGAGGAGCGCTTGCACAATGGTTTTGTAGTAGAATAAACGCAATGGCTCTGGAGGAGGTGTTCAGTCCTTCACTACGAGAAGGTCTCTCGGTTTTCTTCCAGTAAGGGCTGCAACTCGCGCCACTTTCAAGCAGCCCGCCGAGTTCCACGGGACAAGAACTCCAGGGTGGGGCTTTGTGGCTCCATAAGCGTGAAAGACGACAAGGCCTCAGCTTTGATGTCTCCTATTCAAGCTGACATCCACTTAAAAAAAAGGTGGCATAAGGTTGTGCGTGCGTAAGTGTGCTCACACATGTTTGCTTGAGACAGATGCACTGCTCATCTTTTTGATGTAAACAGCAGTCCCTTGGACCTCATTCTCTCCACCTGACCCCACACTCCCTCTATTCCCACCTACAGCTGGATCTTCCCATTTGATCTGCTGTCCTTGTACGCTCTACAGGGTACTTTAGTGGAAGTGTGTGGAAAAAAAGCCCAAGCTGGGTTCAAGCAAACTATGTGATTTGGCTTGAGAAAGGAGAGTATGTGTGTGTGTGTGTGCTTGAGAGGGGAAGGTAAGAGGACCATTCTCTTCGACTGCTCCAAATAGATGACACAATTGACCCTCTAAACAAAGTCCTCCTATTCTGTCAGCCTATTGATTTGAATAAAGTTTGCTCATTAAGTGATGATCAGTAGTGCTTTGATTGGAGATATGCAAGGTAAGGATGAGAGGTTGATGGATAAGCATTTAAAAAACAAACAATAATACATATACCATGTAATACATTTGAAATATACTAAAACCAAGGCAGGAACAAGTGTTCCTTCTTTTCGGGTGCTGCACTTCAATAGTTGTTCTTCTCTTCTTTAGGATCTCCAGACTAATGCATCACAACCCCTTTCAGTATCCCCCGCACAGAGGTCAGCTGACAGACTCTTTTGTAGATGCTGACAAACTGGGGCCAAGAGGTATTGCGAAGGGAACAAATGACAGAGAACAAACCGGGCCATAATAAAAGACTGCAACAATAATACAAAACTCTACCATGCCATCATAATGAAGAGCCATTACCACCTCCAATCACGACCCCAGACCATGCTCTCTTCCACACTCTTGATTCAGTCCACTTTGGATGAAAGAGAAGTTTCTGTAGTTAAGAAACAACTAAATAACTAAATATAAAGTAACTATTCAAGTCTTAAGGAAGATTTCTATGCATGCTACAGTACAGACAATATTAAAGGTAGCTTAATATTTCTAAATGTCTTTATATTTTAAAAATAGTGCAATTTTTGTGACTGATTTGGTGTTTTGCAACTGTTCACAGTCTAAATAGACTTACATTTAAATGAGTATGCAGTTCCTGAGAAGCACTCATATTTAACAGCCAATTTTCAACACAATTGAAAAGTATTCAAACAAACAAAGTTAACATATGCTAAAAGTAATATAGTTTTGATTACATCAAGAAGAAAAACATTTGAACTAATGTCTGATTAACGAAATAATTTTAAAAGAATGGGATAAAAAAGGTTTTGAGTGATAAAAAAAATACATACAAATGAGGCGAAGAACAAGGAGAGAGAGAGAGAGAACTGAGAGAGAGGCTGCTGAACTCAGGGATGTACCCAGCTGTTCTGTTCTTTTTAGACCGACACCTCCCATTCAAAAAAATCTCTTTCGTGGCCCCTGAATCTAACAATTAGCTTCCGCACAGATCGCAGCATCCAGGGAGCCTTTGATTCTAAAAGGGGATTTTTTTCTGCTTTATATGGGCCAATTATCGTCAGGTGCCTGCTGTCCTTGTTCGGTGAGGCTTTCAAATATCCTGCATTAAAAAGCTGGTTGTTACAACCGGGGAGAAAAGCGTTTTATTCACATCCACTTAGAGGGCGGAAATTTCACACCAGAAAAAAAGAAAGAGAAAGATTGAACCTACTATCCTATGCTACGAAACGACATAACTGTAAGTGCTCAGATGGATATACCTGACCTTTGAAGGCCACCATAGCAAAGCCACAGACATCAACATAATCAAACAGTATTTGGAATGGAGAGATGGTGCTTATATGCCAAATTACAGACCTTTGTTGAGGGTTTGCTTTGTATCATGATTGCATGTTTGCTTGAGTGATCATATCATGTGGCATATGTTGGAAAATTCAGCTATTTGAATTGAAACAATTCTCAGTGTGTGAACCATCAATTTCTTTTGGGGTTGAGGGAGCTTGCGGAATCATTTGACTCACAGAGAAAGGCTGACGTTTATAAAGACAGGGCATTTTCCAAAGACAAAAAGTCAATATGAGCTGGAAGTCCTAAAGCTGTAATTACAGATACAGATCTGAATACAGAAGAAGTGATGCACACAAAAACCTGGCATCTCTTGTCTCTGGCACCAATAGCCTAGTGATTAGTGTGTTAACACATAGTACTGAGGTGCTCACGGCGACCAGAGTTTGATTACTAACTTGAGGTCCTTTGCCAATTCTGTTTCCTTTTACTCTGATCTCCATTATTTTCTGTTTGCACTATACTGTCCTATAAAATTAACGTTCAATTGCACTGGAAAGAATCACCTACAGTATAAAGGGCAAATTAAAAGAGTACCATAAAATTTGGGATCTGTTTACACAATTTTTTAAACAAAACCATACAATGGCACAAGAAAATACCTCTCATGCTACTGGTTAACTGATTGATCCGTGTATGTGTGAATTTTTGCATGTGGAATACAGTACATGTCTTATTTGCCTTAGCCCATGTATAACAATACATTTACCTGTTCAACTGAATTTGAATGCTTTGGGGGAGGGAGGGGGGAAGAGTTTAAATGTAAAAAAGGAGTTATGTTAAATTTCAAGTAGGTTTTTTCTACAATAAAAAAAATGTTTAAAAATAATAAATAAGGTTCACAAATCCTAAAAATCATTATAAAGATATGGCATCCTAAAGCACTTAAAAGCAATATAACAGAACAATTAACAATGTTAACCATGTTCCATTGACCATTTGTCACAAAAGATCCAACTAGAAGTGGCAAGTTAAGAAACATTGCTGTTTTCACTAGATACGTACTGTACATGCACATCAGATATCTCTTGTGAGAACTTATTACCAGATGTAATATGGGGAAAATGTTTCTAAATTCTCTATCATACTTCTAACATAATTCTCACATTTATCACTGATTTCGAAGGTGAAATGTGACATTCATTGACATTCATCCAAGAATTTAACAACAACAAAAACCTAAGAAACAATCAATTATCAACATGAATAGTTTGGTAATCAAATAATATAATATAACAAACATATTTAGGAAACATTAACATGTTTGTTAAATGATTATTTGCTACTATGATAGAAATAATAATACAAATAAAATCCTAATTAATTTTTGATTATTGACTAATTTACCTGCTGTTTTTTCTTATCAATATCCAAGTAGCTCGATTGACTTTTTTATAAACAGTTATTGAATTTATTTAATCTTTTTAATTTTCCAAAATGATAATGCAGTGTTACACTTTGACCCCCGACAAAAAAAAACAAAAAAACTGTGATTAACACTAATCATTTCTGTCACAAAGAATACAAATGAATGTGCAATCTGTGAGAGGTCTCAGCAAAATTCTCCCTGCCAATTGAATAATGACAAACCCAATAGCTACATATGAAGATATGGTGAAAGTGCAATTATGAGGAGGGGGTCACCTGCACATCGGAAGCTCTGAGCAGTGAGGCCCTTTTCTACGGCCAGACAGGTAAGGATGCTGAGAAAGCTAGTTGTGACAGACTGCCGTTTAGCTCTCTGGGCCTCCTTGTGCTTTTTCTCCCTGGTTGGCTTGTTCCTCATCAAGACTCCGCTGGGGGCTTCAGTACTCTCACACTGCGGCCGCTGAGCTGTCACTGCAATGCGAAGACCCTCAACCCAGTCCTGGGCCTTAGCCTCGTTCTCTGCCCGCAGACGTAGCACATCATCAGGAAAGACGACCTGAAAGCGGGAGCTCCTGCCTCCGTCTTCATCATCCCGCTGCACAGCCAGACAGGATGCCAGCTGGTACCGCAGCACTGGCTCAGACACTGGACCTCTTCCCTCAGTCGGGAAGGCCTGCAGATCAGTCCTGCTCAGTACAAACGTGAAGGCCCTCCAGTTGTTGAGGTCGGTGAGTTGGTGCAGAAGGCCAGACTTGAGAACATCAGCACAGTGCTGGGTGAACAGTGGTAGGGCGGTGGGACGTACCAGTGGACGAGGAGCGGGAACCATCGCTGCATCTGGGTCAGGTTCATGGGGGGTTGGGGAGTTGGCACAAGCTGGCTCCGCTTTGCTGTGAGTGGGACGGGCGGCCAAGACTCGTTCCCAGAGGAGTCTACGCCACTCCAGTGCCTCCCACTGGCAGGGTGCTCGTAACTGCACACGGGTGCTGTTAAAGAAGACGGCCTGTAGCACCCGTCCGTCCTGTGGCTGTGGCGCACTTACCCCTTGGCAGTGGGACAGCGAGAGGGCGGCACATAGCTGCTGGTTTCCGCTGCTGTCGAGGCTGTAGAGACGCAGTTCGCAGGGTGTAAGCTCCACATGACAGGCAGTCCACCGTCCCCACGGGCCTTCTCGCTGTTCTAGAGTTCCCTGCTTCACCAGGTAAGAGCTGCTCTCCTTGTGAGCTGGAAAAAATAAATCAGAATTAGATTCTTTAATGTCAATAAACAACTACAGACTCAAATATCTTAGAGAAAAAATAAAATAGATAAAATGGCTGAATATTACAACATTTGGCTACACCATGTATGTAAGAATCAAGTGATTTCTGGTGAATTGATCAATATAAATTGATTTTGTTAGTATTTTTAACACTATATACCTTAATTAAGAGCAAGTTTCAAGGTGAGTAGTCACAATCTGCTAGATTTTAAAATTTTAATATTCCTTTTAGGTTGGAGAGAGTACAACTCTATTTTAAATAGTAATAGTTATTTCGGTTCTCAATTCCGGATGCAAAATTTGCACATTTTGTATGTCTTCCCTACTTAACACACAATTCAGGTCCATGAACTGATCCTTGTGTGTCGAATAAGAGAGACTTCCTAAATATGCAGGGCGAGGGGCACGAGGACCGGAATTGAAAACCACTTTATTAGCTCAAAAAATATATAGCTTAGAACTTAAGCAATAATATCTACTTTTCCAACAAAATAATCTTTAAATGAATAAGGACAATGCAAAAGACCTAAAGCAGGGGTGCCCAAACTCGGTGCTGGAGGGCCGGTGTCCTGCAAAGTGTGTGTGCGAAATTCTGTTGTATGGCCCTGCGAAAGGGGGCGGGATTAAACAAGATAATTAGACATAAAAAAAGCCAGCGATTAGTCCATGTTTTAAATAGAGGTCATGTTTTGATCTTCGACTGGTCTCACGCAATCATGTAATGCGATTTCGCACATCAGAGTTTTCCAAGCTTGAACTTTCCAATGCAACAAACTGTGAAACTTGTTGCACAAGCTTGTGTTTCCGCTCTGACGCATTCACATGCATATTAATGGAAGTCTATGGGGAGAAAAGTGCAGTGTGACCGCAGCTTGACAAGGCAGAAACATCCTTGCAAGTGTGTTGAGGCAAGCTAAAATCTGCTGGACACCAGCCCTCCAGGACCGAGTTTGGACAACTCGGACCCTAAAGGGTATCTAAAATGTCAATTCAAATTCAAAATGAACCCTCAAGTGGCTCCAAAGTGAAGAAACCTAGGAACCTGCAACTATTGACTTCCATAGAATTTGTTTTGGGGGGCACTGATTACAGGTTTTTTGCTTTCATCAAAATATGGTCACCACAGCAGAATGAACCGCCAACTTATCCAGCATATGGTTTACACAGCAGCCCTTCCAGCTGCAACCCATTACTGGGAAACATTCATACACTCTCATTCACATGGATACACTACGGACAATTTAGCTTAATCAGTTAACCTATACCACATGTCTTTGGACTGTGAGGAAGACTGAATCACACGGAGGAAACCCACGCGAACACGGGGACAATGTGCAAACTCCACACAGAAATGCCAACTGACCCAGCAACCTTCTTGCTGTAAGTCAATCGTGCTACCCACTGCGCCACCGTGACGCCTATGGTAAACTTATCCTGTCTTAAAAGAGAGTGACTATCCCACCCTAACTAGTTTGTCCTTCTGTGCAACTGGCTGGCACCAGAGCCCCCCTCCCGTTTGTCTGGAACCCTGCATGTGAGATGTTCACATCATCCATGATGGATGCTATTGTGCTGTTTGATAGCAGTGTATCCAGCAGCCACCACAAAACAGGAAGAACCATTATTGTGTGTCAGGCTGCTGTGCAAACAAAACGGCTAAGAGTGACCCCTAATCTTTGGCACTCCTTTTCAGCCCTTCCTTTCTCTGTCCATTTCTTTCACATACTCCCTCCTTTATCTCCTTTCCTCTCTTGGTCCACAACACCCCTTGTCCTTACATTTCCTTGGCTGGAAACTGCCAGTTTTCCTCTCAACCCTCGGGAACCTGCTGGGTGCCCCGGGCATCTGTGCCTGGACAGACCCACAGAAACACACAGAGGCCAAAAAAGGGTAAAATAAAAGCCAATGCTCCTCTATTGTTTTCATAAAGTCTTATCTCAAAAGTACCAGTCAAACCTGCACCTTCCATAACATCTGTAACTTATAACAGACAGTCCCTGCCCTAAAGTGCTGATAAACTGTCAGCCCTGTGGGTTGAGTTCAGCAAAACCTGCGACAACTAAACATGCCTCAGTCCTCTAGATTGAAGGTTGTGGATGTTTGGGGGCTCCTTGCACTCAGAGGTCTTCAAAGGTGCATAGCTTGCAGCAATGGAAAGAGTCATTACTAATTTCACGGCAGAGAGGATGTGAGGCGTGCTGACATGACCCAATTAGTGAGCTGGTGCAAGGCCAGTCAGCCTGCAGAGCCTCAACCTTTCCAAGACCTTCCCATCTGCAAGAGGCTAACAGACGCATTTGAGACAGACAGGCATGATGGCACATGAAACCAGTGCAAATAATGATACCACTCATAGATGGGCATGAAGGATACAGTCATTGATGATAAGAGAAAATTTGAGAAGAAATTTTTAAAAAGCAGACAAATATAGAAAGGTCTGGGTCAATTCCAAATGGCTAAACTAGTAAAGTCAAATCTGACATATTTATGTAACATAGCAGCATGCAAATTTTACAAATAGTATGAAATTCTCAAAAGGTTTGAGTCAGTGCTTAATGTTTTTAATCTTATTTTAGTATTTACAGAAAATATTTATTATTGTATAATTAATTTATAAAGAAATATAATTTAGAATACAATTTAAAATAATATATGTATTATGCATGATTAATATTGATCAATTACATAAAAGTATATTGAAAAGTTACAAAAAAAAGCAAAACTGTTTCCAATGTTACTGCAATTTTTTGTCAAATAATCTACATATTTTAATTATTTTTAAGGGATCGTGTGTGAATCAAACTCATTCATTCGTTTGTTTTTCTTCAGCTTAGTCTCTTTTTCAGAAGTTGCCACAGCAGAATGAAACGCCAACTACTCCATTATATGTTTTACACAGCAGAGGCCCTTCTAGCCGCAACCCATTACTGGGAAACACCAATACACACTCATTCACTACAGCCAATGGAGTATATGCACACAGACTTTTTATATCAGCCAGCCAGCCTCAGCACTTCCGCTGAACTGCCTTTCAATTATAAAATTGCCACGTTTAAGGTCTGATTTGTTTAAGAAAAACAGTGATCTTCTCTGCCTGATAACTATACAATTTAAAGTGGGTCTCAGACCACACAAAAAGCACTGCATTAAAATGTACCTCAGTATTTTCATTAGAGTTTCTGCGCTCGCCTCCTGATCCTGATGGCGCTAACGGTTACATCTAGCGTCTTTCATCTCGTTTTACACTTGAACAACTAAATGAATGCTTAAGTCTATTTAACTGAATGTATTGTAATTGCATTACAACGTCGATGCTGTAAAAGAAACCTTGTTAAACTGAAAATAGTCACACAAAGCTTTCAGCGGAAGTTATTTATTGGCTAAATACACAAGCTGTGCATATACCCCAATAAGTTCATCCAACTCACCTATAGCGCATGTCTTTGGACTGTGAGGGAAATTGCACCACCCAGAGGAAACCCACACCAACACAAAGAGAACATGCAAACTCCACCCAGAAATGAAACCTGGCCCAGCCTGGACTTGAACCAGTGACTTTCTTGCTGTGAGGTGACAATGCTAACTACTGAGCCACCATGCCACCAGAGAATGAAGTTATTGCTGCTTAACATTTAGCTTTGAAAAACACAATATATTAAGACATTAAAAAAAAATCAGTTATTGTAAATTGCAATAATAATAATTTCACATTTTTTGCCTTGGATAAATGCCTACATGTAAATTTGTCTATAAAACCATCCTAATTCAAACAAAAAGTAATTAAATAAATAAATAATAATAACAATATGCTAAACCTTCATAAATAGTGATGAATAGCATTTAATTTGGTTTAGTTTGATGTAAAAGAGAACAAGCGACCTTGACTGTCTCTTTAATCATTTATCCAGAAACACTGCAATTTGATTCAGACTGCGATTAAAGCACAAATCCAATTTAAACCCTGTATAACTATATTCTACAAACAATAAAATTGTACTGCTTGATGTCCAATAAACATGCAAATGAGTAGACATGACTCAATTCAGATGTGCTCAAACGAAACAAAAAGCAGGGCTCACAGAAGAGTCTCTACATAATATGAGGTCATGATAAACAGCTGAGATGTTGCGCATAATCACCACCCACTTTACACTTTAATTAAAGATCAGCAAGTTTTGCTGTACTGTCTGACTCAGAGAACAAACTAAAAAATATAACGCTAAAACATTGCTAACATATTAACTGATTAAAGAAACAACATTTAAAATGTAAGGCCAGTCTAATATAGTTAAAACAAAAAAAACTAAAAAGTCAACTATATTGTAATTGACATACGTAATGAACTACAGAGCCAAGTCAAGCATAACGCAAACACTGAGACCTGTGCAGTGAGGGGTGTAGGGCTTCCCAGTCTTAATCAGTAGATCTATCAGAATTACAAACTGGATGGGTTGCCAATATCTTAATGTCACTTAGGATTCAATCTCAGTCAGTCAAGAAAAGGTGGGCATTCGAGCGTAGAACTTGCTCTTATTTTCAATTGCTCCCATTGGCGCATTTGGCTGTAATTAACAATTTGCCCCATTAAGTTTTAAAACGGAAACAAGGACAGCCAAGAGGATTGCCATCACCTGCTATTTTGTGAAACCTAGCACTGATTTACTGGGTGTAGAAATAAATCAGCCTTTTTCGAAATGAGTTAATACAGAATTAAACCAGACTACTCGGGATCTAAAAAGCTTTAAAACAAAGTGGACAGTCTGTATTGGTGAACGTGTATTAAATCATAGTAACGTGTTAATCCGAACAGGTTACTGGGACTGTGCTGTTCTTGTTCTTAGAAATAGAAACACCTTTAGACGAAAACACAAAAGCAAACAAACAGGCCAAACCATAACTATAAGCAAACACTCGTTGAACCCCTCCACATAAAAGGAGGCCATTCCTGCAAAGAGCGCAGGTGAGCGGTGTTGACACAGACGTAGACACAACAAATCACAGGTGCGTGAAGATAAAAGCTACAACATCTTATAATAAGACTTTGATTAGGTGGAAAAAGTAATGAAGAACTGTGTCATTAAAGAAAAGTAATTTAGTTTCTGGATACCAGGGGGAATAATAATAATACTATGACTTAACAAGACACAATAAACTGCCAGTTGATAAATGTTTTTTCTTGTTTTTCTTGACTGAGATTGACATTTTATCCAAACCAGTCATAATAAATGACAGGGACAGTGAATTCAAAATACAGTTTAACGCAGCAGCATTTAGAGTCCAACTAGGCCTGTCAAGATATTTATGTTTTGTGGTACTATATGTAGCACCAAAATTGCGATGTACAATATTTTTGTCATTTTAAGACCATTTTGACATTAAATTAGCATCATGATGCAAGTACACTCTTACAAAGAACACATGATATTTTATTCCTAAGAATATATTATTTAATTCGTCATTTTAACAATTTAATAATTAGGCAGTGGAATCAAATTGTGAAAACATATCCTAAAGAAATAAATAATAATAAATGTTGACAAAAATGTCCAAGGTGAAAAGAGCTAAAAAAATAAAAATAAAAAAAAAAAGTTACAGATCTAATTTCAGTCGTCGGGCACCCACATGAAAATATACTATAGTAATTTATAGTAAATAAATACTATAGTGTTTTTTTACTCATACTGACACCTCCAATAGAGATAGAGTCTGCGCAGTCAGCTGAAATGTGGCTAGAATTGTTTTTCATGTATGGGTGCATTATATATTGGATGACCAAAAATGATTGAGGACATGTCCACGTATTGTGCGATAAGTCGATATAATGATTATTGTGACAGTTCTAAGTCCAACAGCCTTCCAGAAGTAAAAATACAATTATTAACATTTCTGTTTATTTGGGACAATGCAGTATAACATTGCTACTAGAGCTGCACGATTAATCAAAGAAAGCTCATGAGCTCGTTTCGACCCCCACACATGATCTTAATCGAGCATTTCCACGATTCAGCCTTTTTTTAAAAATAATATTTATTACAGTCAGAACAGAAGCAAAAAGGCGGTTGCACAAGTCTTCATATTGTTTTATATATGTTTCTCAGCAAAGAGGACACCTACTCTATCCTATATAATGTTGAATATAATGCAAGAGGGAATCTGATAATGACAAATGTCATTACTTTACCAGTAAAAAATGGCCTAATAATGTTGTCAAAGACAGGTTGAAAGCTTTAATTCAACTTCAAAATTATAAATGGTTGTATTCTGATGATTTTTACAGTGCGTTAACAAATTTGATAAATTTAAAGTCTTTAAAAACATAAAATTTAGCATTTTAACCAACAGGAGACCTACACATAATATTTATTGTTGTTTTCCCATATGTTTGATTAACAACAATAATAATAGTCTACTCATATTAACCTTTGTTTTACATCTACAGAATTGTGAGAAAATCATGATCTTTATTTTAAGCAAAATAATTATTGCCAGAATCGTGCAGCACCAAATTGCTACAATTTAAATCAGCCAATGCACCACATATAGCCTTCATTTTAGGCCTTCTAATTTGTAGCCTTAATCCCTGGTCACTTTTTATACACTAAAACAGTACAACTACCTTTATATTATATATACACAAAAACATACATTACAAACACAATATACCAATAAAAAAAAGTAAAAGAAAACTTTTTGGTTCAACTGGCAGGTTTTTCCAAAGCCCTGTACCTTAAACTGAAAACGTATATTGTGCAAATGAATTTCTTTCTTTTTTTTTCATTTGGTACTGTGCAGTTCAGATTGGTTACTCTTCCTGTGATAATTATTTTACTGCTTATTTTTGTAATTAATTGACATATCATTTTTGGGGCAAGATGACTTACACATTTACAAATCATTTTAACAAGAAACACACTAAAATAAAAAGTCAAACCTAAGCAGATTGCGCTTTTGCAAAAGGGTATTGCAATATTAGTTTCTCCTTGTTTTAAAAATATACTGTATCTTTGTCTTTTTGTGCAATTATCACATACTTTTTTGCTTCACATAAAGGTTGCAATGTTGTGATTAATCTTGGAGGGGATAATTTTGTCCATGGCTTATGAACTGTTTAACAAACAATTCTTTTTTAATCCTTATGAGAAAAACACTTCCCATAAGTATACTAAAGAAGTAAATGGGCACTTTTGTACTCATTGGCCCTGCTTAATCGCTTTATTAAGTATTTTTGTTGAGCCGATCACATTAGAGAACAACTCTAAAAACAGGTGCAAAGGGGGTCTGAATCTAGCTTGCCCACTTTAACTACTTGCAGAGATTTGCTTTCTTGGGAGTAGACACTCATGGGGTCAAATGTGTTTGAGCATCCACGAAAACAGCCTCCTTTTTACCTATTTATCTCATTTTTAAACATAACGAGATGCATGGTTTACCACCTCATAGTCAAAATGAGGTTGAGGTCCAAGAAACACATTCTGCATGGTTCTTGTAATCTTATCACACAAAACATTATCTTATTTAAAAAGGCTAACACTGAATGTAATAAAATACATGACCGGTGCTTGAGCATTACTTGGACTCTGTTGGGAGCTTTGATTGCCTGCCTGATATCAGTCAAAAGGCAAAGGTGGTTAAAAATTTGATGGAGATGTCCACCTCATAATTCTCTAAGCAGGAAAATCCCTTCCGAGACTTGTTGCTAAAGAAAGCTAGCAATATGAGATTAAATTGGCGCCATCTGAGATAAATTGCAATAAATGATAAAAACTATGTTCTCAAACCCGTCCTGATTATAACACAACTCACAGTACATGGTGCAGTTTGTGACAATTATAGTACAAATCTCTTTTTGCATTTATATGTAAATTGTGCAAGCTTATAACACAATACAAAAATAAAAAAGTTAATAAAAGCCCCTACAAAGATCCCTAAAATTAAAACGGTGATAATTTATTCAGCTTACACATGTTCCAAACCTGTCTGAGTTTCTTTCTTCTGTTGAATATAGGTGTAGAAACTTAGATAGTGACCTCCAAAGTATTTACTTTCCATATTTTTTCATATGGAAATCAATGGATTCTGTTTCTTCAATATATCTTCTTTTAAGTTCAACAGGAAAAAAAGAATAACTTGAAGATGGTACAAAATAATTTAAGGTATGAACACATTGAACAAGCAAAATACAAAATGGAGTTTACTTCTTACCATCCCTGTGGTCGTTTAGCGCCATGTTCTTGAACATATTTTTATCAATGGCTGGCATGCCATTATCGGTGTAGGTGCGGTTGTTGACATCTGAACGGGAGCGATTGTGGCCACGTTTGAAGCCCCCGCTGGACGTGTTGGTGGTGGAGTTTGTCTCTTTGGCATGTGCCGCCAAATCATTGGTGGATCGAGCTCGGTTTCTTTTCCCATTTCGAAGGCTCAGCACACTGAAGGGAGTCTGCTCTGCCCAGGCCATATTACCAGGTGATAGCTGAGACTGCTTTCCTGTCAGAAGCCCCCACACCCCACTGGAGTTCAGCTTGTCCAAGGTGGATGCCTCTTTAAGTTTGGGTGGGTGTACCTGGGCATCTCCGTGATTGTCATCGAGGCAGTGCAGGTAGTCCTCGGTGGCCTCGAGGGCTGGACTAATATCCTCGACCTCCAGACCCTCCATCACCTCGACAGTTTTGGTGTCACAGAAGAAGCCGAGGGGTGGAGAAAATGGACCGAATCCTCGTGTGCGTGAGGGCAGGATCGAGAAGCCTCAAGGCACCGCAGACGGAACATCTGCTGTCTGGACCCGAATGGAAGTGTGGCAAAACAGATGGTCCACAAACGCCTGAACCCCTTCCAGAACTGTCACTTTATGAGCCAACGTTGTTAATCAAGAACCTAATGAGAAGTGACCGCTGTGCCAGCTATCAGTATCAGCAGTAGGTAAGGTGAGGGCAAACTCAGAGCTGTCTAGAACAGGTGTTGTCTTATCCAGACGAGCACTTCAATTAAATCCCTGCAGCCTGTAAGGCAGTAAATCACCAAGCGATAGATGCAACATGGCATCAGGACGTCCTTCCCTAGGGTCTGACATCCTGGATTTAGACAAACAAGAGAGAAAAGCAAATAACGGTCAGAAAACATAGCAATAACTCCATGCACAGATAATGCTCTTGTTTCAGATGTCTGTGATATGCATGGAACACAACGTGAAACTGAAAGAGTAAGCTATTTTATTATAACATTGTACAAGCAATGTTTCAAGGTTCAAGGGCTATGGGTTTCAAACAAGAATAGCTTTTGAAGAGCTGTTTTTTGGAGGCACAGGATATTCACATAACAAACAAAGAGTTGGCTCCTGTCATCAATTAATCACCCTCAAGTCAACGTAAATCTATTTTGTTAATCTGTGAAACACAAAAATATATTCTCTTCTATTTCTGCCTCTCCACTAAAATTCTACTCAGCCAAAACTGGATGCCAAATAGACGAGGAAGACACGTTTCTATTTACACCATATGTTTAAATCACTTCATTAAGCATGGGCCGGTATAATATTCTGACAGTGTGATAACCTTGGAAAACAATATCACGATTTTAGGGTATTGTGATTACTGCTCTTTTTAAATGTCTGGGTAAAAAACTACAACTTGTTTCCCTTTTGAATACAATATATTTTATTTAAAGAAACATTTAAAATATTTATTTTGGAACAGTAGACAAATCTTTCTAAATAATAAAAATGAATCATTGACTTCTGCTGTTTTCATTTGTTTTAAAAACACAAATTCCTTTACAATGTAAACAACATCTTTTCATATCTTTTATGATGGAGATACAGTTGTCCTAAAAAAATCCTAAATATACCTTAGGAACGCTATAGCAGAAAATGATGGCGGTTTTAAAACCTTGACTTTACGAAACCGCAATATACCTTCAAAACCTATTTAATTTAATACCTATTTAATTATGTAGCCTGACATGTTTAGTGTTCCAAAATATTATTAATGTTTCCTAAAATGTAATATATTGTATTAAATGGGGGGAAAAGTTGTTTTTTACAAAGAGATTTAAAAAGAAATTATTTTACAGCATTAAACACACCACCGTAATATCGTGAAACTGTGATATATTTATCCAAGGTTATCATACCATCAGAAACATGTACTGGCCCATGCCCAGTGCGATCTCAGACTTGTTTTGAATTTTTCCAAAAGTTAAACATTAGCATTCAACTAATCTAACAAATACTCTAACACCCTTTCTGCAAATCAAACATGTCTACTTGATGATAATAAATCACATGACAATGACAACATGACAGATGTAGAATACGGTCATAACACACACACTCACAAATACTATTACACCTGCAATGAAAATAATTTTTAATGTTTTCAAAGTTTGTTCCTTATTATATATATATTGTATCAACTCAGCCACGGTGGGATTTTTCAACATCTTCCACATAAACACTTCCTTTCCATGATTCCATTCATGTTTTAAAACACAAGAACCTATTCTGCATGCACGGCTCTAATGTTGCTTCCTTTTGTTATGGCCTTCAAACAAGAAACAATGCCAAATATTATAGGCAGCAAGCTTAGATTTGGAACAGAGCTACAGCAGATGAACTCCACTTACCTTGACCTGTATTTACACTCACGGCACCATCATAACAAGTCATTGTCAGTTTCACACTACTACATGAATACCACAGAATCCGTTGAGCAGCCTACCTCATGTTCCAAAGCTTCAGGCACACAAAACCGACATCATCACTGAACGTTTCTAGCACAGGGTGGAGTTCCCTGTTTCTCTAACCATGAGCCCATCTTCACATGATCATGCAGACTCTCATCTTACTCATGTCTACTTCCTCCTCCAACACTAGCATTGATTCCTCTGCACTCCGACTCAAGGTCTTTCACTTTCTTTAAATCATCAATTATTAAAAGACCATTACATCATCTCAGAACAGAGACACACCAGACTCAGGATAAAAAAACAACAACAACAGAAACAATGAAAGAAAAATAAAGGGAGTCCAACAGAAAGCTCTATGTAGTAGTAGAATAATTAATATTAATAATAATAATAATAATAATAATAATAATATTCATAATAATAATAATAATTCCCTACATTTATATTGCACCTTTCTGTACACTAAAGTCACTTTACACATTTTGGGGGGGAATCTCCTCATCAAACACCAGTGTGCAGCATGCATCTGGAAGACGAGATGGCAGTCGTATTGTGCCAGACCATACACCACACACCAGCTGATTGGTGAAGAGGAGACAAAGTGATGAAGCAATATGGGGATGGTTAGGAGGCCATGATGGACAGAGGCCAGTGGGCAAATCCTGGGATTTTTAAGAACCACAGAGAGTCAGGACCTCAGTCTCATCTGAAAGACGACGCTCACTGAGCAGTATAGAGTTCCCATCAATATACTGGTGCATTAGGACTCACATAGACCACAGGTTGAGTGACCCTTGCTGGTCTCACTAACACCACTTCCGGCAGCAACCCAGCTTTCCCATGCCGTCCCCCATTCAGATACTGACCAGGCGCAGCCCTGCTTAGCTTCAGTGGGCAACCATGTGAGAGTTGCAGAGAGCTGTCGGCTATGTGGATTTTTTTTTTTAAATCTTTGATTCTGATGATTAAAATTTTTACCAACAGAAAGAAATTTGCACAAAATAAAGCTCTCTATAGTCTTCAAAAAAATTTAAAAACATATTTAAAAAAGAGAGCACCAGTATTTTAAATGAAGCCACTCTGAGACCAAATTCCCTATATCTCTGGAAATGAACGAATGGTCTTAAAAAAAATTACAATTTATTAAAAACATAAAAGAGCATGAAAATGTCTTTAATACTTGTTTAATTATAGGCATGACTATTTGTGAAATGTTAAGGGCTTATTTTTCCCCATTTTTGAAAGGCCATCATTAGCATAAAGTCCAACTATGTTTGTTGAAAGAAGCAGTTTCTACTAATAGACCTAAATAAATTTAACTAATTTAGCTCTAAATCACTTGCCATTTTGCACCTTCTAAATTTTTTTAGATTACTTCAAATATACAATAATATTAAGAGTATTATTATAATATTAAATATATTATAATATATTATTTATTGCCTATATTATTTGGAGTAAATACAGTAAATTCATTCAATTAGATTTTTTGCCTATATAGATCTTTCTTAAGAACACACACACATACCTACATACATATTATGAAAAGCAGACAATTTGAAACATAATTACTCTATATTTTGTCATAATTTGCACCATTCTAGTCTTCCAAACTGTATTACTTTTTCCATGCTCATACAAACAAAAACAAATCAATTTTTGATCAAGAAACCAATGTCAACAAAAACATGGCCAATGGCCAATAGTTTTCACAATATTATCTGTTTACAACAGAAAAAAAGAGAACTACATTTTTAGAACAACATGAGGGTGACTGAATGATGACTAATAATGTTTAGGGGAACTTTGCCTTTAAAACAGGATCAAAGATAAAATTAGAGCAGCAGCCAGCCTTATGAACAAGACCACTTACTACATTGAAAAACCTGGCTTGTAATGTTCACATCTCTGTAGACAAATTTTTCAGGCAGAGCTGTGGAGATCCACTTCTATTATTAGCTGTTTCACAGCTAGCATCAATCTCCACACTGAGACAGTGACCAAGCAAAGTTATGGTCTGCATTTAATGTGTGATAATTCTAAAGTGAGCCCTCTTAATACTATGTTATACAATATAATAATGCACTACTGCAGCACTATAATAAATTAGGTTTACATTCACATTAGGTCCGTGTATCATCCGTTCATTTGATTATTCCTTTTATTACGGAAAACGAAACATCAGAAAAACGATGAATATTTCGTTTTTCTGTTTATTCTGTAGGCAGAAAAAACGGAAACTCATCTGTTATTCTGCTTATTAACTTAAAACGAAATATTAAAACAAACACAAAACCAAAACGAAATAATGAGTCAAAAAATGATCCGTGTACGGTTCGTGTACGTTTTGTTCATTTGTTTTCCATTTTCAAACGGAATAAAGGAAATGGAGAAAACGGCCGTTTTTCCGTTTTTCTTTTGCTCACGAAAAAACGAGATTTTGGCTGGATTTTCGTTTTTTGGTTTAGGGCAGGAAAACGGATAAACGACTTTAAAATTCATTTTACACATGTAGGCGGTGCTGAAACGCCCACTTTCCTCTAATTGGTCAACCAAATCTGCGCTCGTGACGTCACCCTCAAAATAAAAGCCTTACACGCAGGCTTTTAATTATTATTATTTAATTATATATTAACTAAGTTTACATATTCTATCATTTGAACCACACACAGTTAGCAGGCTTACATTCATTGCGTATGTATGAATTAAATAAAAACGTAAATCAGCAGTATTCTTAGACATTTGTCATTAAAATAAGGTCATAGTTCACTGCCAAGCTTCTTGCTGCTGTGCACCTGATGCTGAGCAAAGAAAGCCATTTCCGAGGAACACCTGGTTTACATGATTGTTTTAGAGCTATTGTAGGCCTAAATAATAGCCTACTCTGTATAAAATAATAATTTATTATTATTTTTATTATTATTATTATTATTATTATTATTATTATTATTATTATTATTATTATTATTATCAGTTACTTGTGTTTTTATTGTTTGGTGTGTTTTTTTTCTTTTTAATAGTTGTTAGCAGAACCAGAATAAGAACACTTTGGGCCCTGCTATAAAAACAAAGGGTACCATTTGTTTTCATTTATTTCTTCCTATTTTAATTATATATTGTAATTATTTATTTGATAATTAATACTATTTTATTGCAACGCCAAAGTAGGCCTGTCTTATTATTTTTTTATTATTAAATTTGCTGTTATTGTAGGCTAGATGGCAGGCTTTAAATATTTTAAATAACATTTACTCATAACCTTACTAATTCGAGAGCCGAACCTAAAAAAAGTTTAAGTGCAATAAGCCTGTACAATAAAGGGAGCCGCAATGCATATTTCTAGCGCATTCTTTCACTCAACAATTATTGCTGGAATAATGAAATAAAT